GCGCCCGCCCGCCCAGGGGCACATCGGGGAGCCGCCCCAGCCAGAGGGTCCCGGGGAGAGAAAGGCCTCCTGCCGGGGCGATTCGGGGGAAACAGGGGTTGCGGCGTTGAGTGCCGAGCAGGGAAATCGGTGACTTTGTCCGCCTGGCGTTTCCCGGTGCCTTGGGGCTCCTTCCTTCCTGCTTGCACGCCTGCCCTGCTCCTCTCCCCGAAACCGTCCCTGCCGCACAGATATGCTCCCCACGGGCTGGGGCAGCGGGCTGCTGGCCACCGGACCACTAGTTGCCCTGGGCTAATCGGTTCACACGGAGCCCCTCAAATTACTAGGCACCTGCCCAATCTTTATGGATCCTTCGCAGGGGCTGGGCTCTGCTGCTGGATGGTCCCTGCGTTCGTCCCTACGGAGCCGGAGGGTCTCGTGCGTCCCCTGGGATGTCCCTGCCCCATGCCCACCCCTGCTCCCGGGGACGAAGGGAGCCGGGGGCAGAGGATGGGCACAGAAGCTGCACCCGTGGCCATTTCTGATGTTACCTACCGTGCTTGTTCTTCTTCTGCTCCTCTTCCAGCCCCGGCACGCCTGGGATGCCCAGGAAGGTGTTGTGGGAGTTTCCGTACCAGACCAGCAGCTCTTGGTCCGGAGGAATCATCTAGAGAGAGGGATACAGAGATGGGAGCGTCAGCGGGACGGCGAACGGCTCCCCACGCACCCTTGCCCCGTCCCTTTGCACCCACGCTCACCGCACCTCGCCTCCCGCAAGGTCTGTTGGTGTCTGGGACCTGCCAGAGGTGCCCGAGCACCCCCTGAGCCCTGAAGGCAATGACACAGGCAAACCACCGGCACAAACCTGCCCCTCGGTCACCCCCGTCCTGGGTGGCAAACGCTGCGGCTGGTGGAGGGGCAGCTACAGACCGCGCAGGCAGAGCCGGGGTCACCGGAGCAAAGGACCGAGAGGTCCCTGCTGCTTGGAGAGACGAGGACGTGGCAGTGCGCACAGAGACACGGAGGAATACGCAGCCCCGCGAGGGACAAGTGAGAGACGGCAGCAACAGAGACCGACGCAGGGAGCCACGACCCAGAAACCCGACTCGGTGCCTCGGCGGAGCGTTTCAGCCCCGAAAGGCGCCGTTGGGTGCGGGGGCAGCATCGCCCACCCGACCCTGCTGGGGATCGTTTTAGCTAGGTTGTGCCTGCATTCGGGTGGAAGCGCGGCTGCATCAGCAAAGGGCTGGGTGAGCCCAGGGCGGGCGGAGGAGAGCTCGGCGGCTGCGGGAGACGCGGGGCGAGGCGGGCGACGCTGCCTGCACCCAAGCCCAGGCTCCTGCAACAGCTCAAATGCATCAGCAGGGTCAGGGAAAGCCTTTTGCACCTTTTGCTCCCATGTTTGTGAGCTGATCGTATTTCTGTTGTTTCTGTTACTTTCCTGCACCATCAAAGGCGTCGGGGCGGCTGGAGTGAGGGGCCAGGAAACGCTATTCGCAGCCTCCCGTGAGAAGCGGCCACAGTGGGGAAGACGAACGCTCTCGCGCAGGGGAGCAGCTGCTCCAGGCAACACTAACATAATCACTTTATTAAAAAAAAGATGTATTTTTCCCTTGCGGGTCCCTAGTGTTAGGAACGTAATTCAGAAATGAGAAGGACCTCCGTTTCGGAGGACCGCTTTCCATGCGCAGCAGAGTCTATGAAAAGCATCATCTAAATGAAACATAGATCACAACAGTTAGACCATCAGAGCACTCACAATGTGCCTAATCCTAAGCGCCTGAGCGCAGTGGGAATTTGACTTTGTATGTCTAAGCGTCTGTTTGCATAAGCACCTCGCTGGGGCTGCAGGGTGCCCGGGAAGGCAGGGGGAGCCCATATCGGTTTCCATCCCAGACTGATGTTGTTTCCCTGTATCATTTTCACATAGTAGAAAATGATTTTTAAATACAAAAGGATAAAATACCACTGAAGTGTAAAATACCCCAAGCGTATGTATGCGTGCACACAGGCGAGCAGCCACGCACACACATGCACATGTGCGACTGCCGTGCTGGCACCAGCATGCTGGAAGTGGAGCCGTGCCTGCCAGCAGCAGCGACTGGGGACTGCTGAGGAAGAGGAAGGGAAGAGCCAAGCAGCAAGGGAGGGGAGGAATAGGCAATACAGATGGAAACGCGAGTAGCGAACACCAACAAAGTCACCCAGTAAATCTGATTTTGTGGTGGTTGGTGAGAACAGCATCCTAAGAGGTGCCGCATGGGAGCCACGGGGCAGCGGAGCCGGGTACAGAGCGACGGGGCCGGGACGCCGCGAGTGTCTGGGGGGCCCCGCGGGGACAGGCAGGATGATGGCGAGTGGCAGTGCCCGAGTGCACACGGACACCTGTGCTGCTGCGAGGGCACCATGGGGATCAGAGCGGCGTCCCCATGCCCTGCCCGTGGGAGACGGGCCCTACACTCACTGCACTTGAGGAAAGTCTGCAAGACTTGAGCTTTTTCAGGTGGTCTGTGGGCTGATGGGGGTCTCTCGGCCCGGGGTTCGTGATTAGCGAAGCCGGTGCCTGGAGGTGACATGACCGGGGAGTGCGGGGGGAGCTCGCTCTGGTCTGTGACGCCCCGCTTGTGCCCCTGCGGCTCCGAGCTGGGGGATAAGCA